AGAATTAGGATCAAATCGATATAATGTGTAAACTTTAAGGGTTATATTTGCTATTATACCAATTTAATAAAATCCCCATCATTTTCTCTTTTTAAAATTTAACAAAAAAAAATGGTGTTAATAGTTGGGTGAAAAAAATTGAAATTTACCTACAGTTGGGTGACTTCTAGTGTACTTTACCCAGTTATCTTTTATGTATTATTAACCATGCAATTTTTAAAATAAAATTTAGGAGTTTGTAAATATATATTTTAAAATTTTGTATATACACACTTTAATTTTGTGAAGTTTTAAAATTTTATTAGTAGTAAACCCTATCCGCTCACCCAGAGCCGCTCTCTCCTTTGTTTTCCTTTTTTTTCCCCTTTTAGTTTGTATTTTTGTTCATAAATTATATCAACTTTTTTTTCTTCGATTTTCTTTAGTCTGCAACGGCACCAATTTTAATACTAGTTATCGATCGTCGGTTCTCTTTTCTCTTATTTTTCTTTTGTTTTTTAATAAGGATAATGTTGTATGTGTTGCACGTTTATCTCTGTCTTGTGACATATTATCTCTGTTTTTGCACATTTTTTATTTTTTCTCGGTCATTTTTTCATTCTTTTATTTATGTTATCTCAGGGTTGGATTTGACGACGCCACGACTGATCAAGATGACGCTTATTTGAAATCTTATGATCTTCCTGCTATGGACCTTTGGATTGAATTTAGATGCATGATTTTGCATTTGTGGATAGTTTCCATGACACTCAACTCTGATTTGTTGTTCTATGTGGTATTTCAATAGCTTAGTTTCCTTTTGTGGTTCTTTTGTCGATGCAATCAGATTTGTTCGTATCTATTTTTGTTCAAGTCTTTTGGTTGAGTTTTTAACATTTTCCATGTATGGTCATTATATGATCTAAAGTTGCTAGTTTAATGTTATAAGAAAAGTCCAAATTATGAATTTAATTTACGATGATAGTTGTAAACTCTTATTGTAATTTCAGATATTTTCACTTTATGTTTTATTGATATTTTATCATTACTTTATTATATAAATTTTATAATTTAAAAAGAATAAATCAAAATTTTATTAGTTAAGAGTAAAAAGAAAATTATTATTATTTAAATTTTAAAATAAAGAATTTATGATTTGAAAAAGACCATGTTAGCAACCCCGAACCCTACCTATAAAAATTTATATTTATTGAAACAAACGAAATTTATTATATGATAAAGTTATAAGTATATATCATCTTATCATATAAAAATGCTTTTATCACCATACATATGTAACCCTAAACATTTGACCTGACTTATGATGAGGACGTTGTCCTTATCAACTAATAATATTCGTACATGTTACTCATACGTATGCTGTCTGCCATATGATAATGGTTGTTTATTCCTTTCTATTATTGTACTCTTATCTCTTCTTATGTTTATCACATGGCAAGTAATTTTTTTCTTTCAAAAAGTTTACAAATATTATAAAGTAATATTTGTTTAAATCCTTTCATCTATTGATGTTTGTACAATTTGTAGAAATATTTATTCAATTTTCTTTTAAAAAATAATAATTTTATATTATTTAATCATCGATAAATTTTTAATTTTTAATAACAAACACATTTTTATTTTACAAATGATGATTCTATATTATGATTTGAATATAATTAGAAAGCTGTCACAACCATGATATAGAGCTAGATTCAGTCAGCATTTTATTTTTATAAAAAGTAGAATGATCATAGCTTTTTATTTTTATTATTTATTATAACTAAAGTTGAAAAAAATCCAAAAACTAGTTTTAAAAGTTTATCATAATCATTTTACAACAAATTAATAAAATTATAATAGTTGTTGACTTGTATTTCAATCATTTTTAAGATATTTATATTTTGGTCGTTAAAAAAAAATAGAATCATTGTAACTAAAGTTTTTTATTTTGTTTAGTAAATCGTTAAAAATTAACGATAATTGGCGTGATAGGTTCACATAAACAATAATCGATTGATTTAGTGGAATTAAAATTAGAAAACCATAAATTGAACACTTGACTTTTTAGGGTTTCTGGGAGTGGCATTGAACTTTCATATTTTTCACTTTTGATCTCAAATTATCGAAACTTTGCAATTCAGTCCAATTTTGCTTAAGCTTCATGGTACTTGCAAATGCTTAAGGCTAAGCATGGCACTGCGATGCAGTCCTAGACTGGTATTGCTCCTTTCAAGTGGTCGAAGAGGGCTGATTTTGACAAACGCAACAAGAACCGATTTAAAAAGCACGAGTGGAGCAAATATGGAAAGTGGGAGTTGATTATTGCGACGACATCGGTGTAGGGGTGGCAACGGGGAGGGGGGGAATGGTTTTGCATTACCCAATCCGTTTCAATACTTGTGGGTACGATTTTAGGGAATCTCTATTGTATGTTTTGGGGATTTTTTGTCCCATACCCATCCCTTACGGATCCCTACGGGTTTCGATTAATACCATCCAAAAATAAACAAACATTTTTTAAATCAATGCAACACCTAAAACTTGTAAATATATCATATTGTCTCAAACTGGTCTCTATCTATAATATAAAAGTTTCAAACGTCAACATTCATCTAACACCCAATGTATATGTAGAATCTTAACCATTTTCAATCTCAACAAATCAATATATATTAAATGAGAAAATATATAAACTTCAATTTAGTTCATTTGCTATGTATATATTTTTTTATATTAAATGAGAAAATATATAAACTTCAGTTTTAGTGACAACACATAATATCACAATTATCATATATAATTTTTTAAAATATATATTAAGAGTATATAGGTAAATGATTATAAATATATTTTTAAAATTTTGTAAAAATTAGGGATTCTTACGAATTTTTCGGGGATCCTCACGGTTATTCACATGGGTACGGTTCGATTATCCCCACGATTCGGATATAGCAATCCCATCCTCATTCCCATTTGAGCTTCGGGATAAAACTTCCCCATCTTCGTAGGTAAAGATTTCAGTTATTCTTCATCTCCATCAGTTTAGATCCCTACGATTTTCGGTTTTTCCCCCACCGATTGTCACCCCTAATTGGTTGCTTGCTTCGTGGTAGGTGTTACTATACATGGGTGGTGATGATCTGAAAGCTAAGACCCTAAAAGCTACTGTGAACAAGAGAAATATGAGGCTTGCCTTAGGATCATAAATGGGACAAAACATATCATGTGTTATTGGAAATGGACTCGGTTAATGTTCGGTTAATACTCAAATCAAATAAACTCGATTCAAGTTCGAATTCGATTCAAATTCTCAAAGAGTCGAAACGAGTTATTTGATACTCGACTCAAAAAGCTTGCGAGTTACTCAAAAAATATAATATATTAAAATTTTTTTTTTACATTAAATTATTAGAAATATTAACATTTATTATTTTATTTTCAAAAAAATAATATAAGACTTTCATGTAGTCAAGGTTTGGGTTTGAGTTCGAGTCGAGCTTCAATTTTTGATTTTGAGTGGAGCTTGAAATTTTAAGCCGTGAACTTTCGAGTCGAGCTTCAATTTTATATTTCAAATTCGAGTTGAGCTTGATAATTTTAAGTTTGCGAGTTTTCGAACCAAATCGTGTTTAGTTTTAAAGTTTTTAAATTGAGTCGAGCTTAACAATACTCAAGTTCAACTCATCTTGTTTACAATCCTAACTTGCATATTACTTGGTCTTTGTACTCCTTATTATCAAGGGAGAGCTAGGAATTTGTTATAGCAGGTCAAATATTTTTTATTTTCCATAAATACAATTTTTTAGTTGAGGGGGCATGGTAATTTTTTTTTATTTTTTAAATATATTTTTAATATTAATTAATACTTAAAAATAATTGAGAGGGGCAAGGGGAGATGTTTCGCCCCTGCTTATTAGCTTTAAATAATGAGTAAACTACATAACTGGTCATTGAAGTATGAGTAAATTTATGGGAATCAAATTAAATAATTCACAATCAAACTAAATATTTACGTGGAAGAGGAGAGATGGGATGAAGTAGAGAAAATATTTATGTTATTAACAATTAAGTGATTGATTTTTTACGAAACAATAATGTTAGTGATCATTTTATTATTTTCAAAATTATAATATTAAAAAAAACTTATTTAATTTATCCCTTAAATTCTTTTAAGAGGGAGTTAAAGTGGTTGGTCAAAAGTGTGAACGTAACCAAACAATACCAATTCAGCCGCCTAAGCAAGTCACATTAGACTTTCGTAATTACAGTAATAATTATTTGTGATTGAATGGTTTATTTATTAAAAAAAGATAAATGTTAGTGATCATTTCATTAATTTTTAAACTTTAATGCTGAAAAAAATAAGTTTCATACTTTTGAAACAAATTTAAATAAGGGTAAATTACAAATTTGGTAACTGAACTTTACTCTCTCTTATTTTACTCACTGTAAACTGAACTTTATTCTCTTTTATTTTACTCATTGTACTTTAAATTTTTTCAGTTTCTCACTGAACTTAATAAATTGAGTTTTTTTATCACTCGACTGTTAAATAGTTAACGTTATTCAAATGAGTTGTTATATAGATGCAAAACGACGTCATTTCGGTGAAAATTTTGTTTTTCTAAAACGACATCATTTTTAATGCCGTTAACTGTTTAAGGGCAGAGTGATAAAAATAGGAGAGAGTAAAGTTCAGTGACAAAAAAAACCCAATATATTAAGTTTTGTGAGAAAATTGAAAAGTTTTAAAGTTTATTTAAAAAATAGGAGAGAGAGTAAAGTTCAGTGATGAAATTTGTAATTTAGCCTCTAAATAAATAGAATTAACAGTCCAAATATTCTCCAAAATCCCAAAAGTTAAAAGCCCAAATATAACCCAGAAGAAAATGAAGTCGGAGCACTGAACCAGATTTCATAGCCCAAACAAAACAACCAAGAATATGTTGAAACTCTTTCCCTAAAACCCATCTCCGTTTTCATGGGATCATACAGACATACACGGGGGTTTGGATTTTTGGTCCGGAAAACACTAAAAAAAAGTTCTATTTTTGAAGAACAAAAACAATGGAAAATTCAAACCGTCGAAGCAATTTGCGTTGCCCTCACTGCTCTGGCCCTCTTTCCAAAGAGATGGTAATAATATCTTACATGCATCTTTGTATTTTGTTTTTGTTTTTGTTTTCTTTTTCAAATTTTAATTTTCTTGTTCAATGGTGCAGGAAACAAGTGAATGGACTGTTTCTCCTCTTGTAAGGGATAGTTTATCCATGGTAAAAATACTCTCTCTTTTTCTTTCAATGTGGGGATGTAAGCTTGCTTTTTTTTAGCCTTTTTCTGACCTTCTATTTGATTGGTTTTTGGAAATTTGAATACCTTTCCCCCAGTTTAATGGGACAGATTTCCAGTATTACAATGTTCTTGCAGTTTTTGCTACACCTTTTATTTGGGGTGTTTTATATATTGGAGGGTGGCTTAGTTTGTGTGTTCATGGTTGTTATTTAGATTGGCTCTGCTGTTGGTGGCACTACAAGCGCGTTCTACGGGTTCAACCATGGTATTTGGATCTGTTTCTTCATCAATTACATGTTCAGTTCAGCGATTTAGACTGCGGTTGCGGTATCATTTTTGGTTAGGTTGTATTTATCGCGATTGAGGACAGCGGATGCTATTGCTGTTGTGTAATAACGGATGCTCCTTCAAGGGATTTCCTTTTATGGGACAATATTTTCCATGTTTTTTTCCAGAAGAGTCAATTCCAAATAAGCATATGCATTAATGTTTTATGTTGATGATTGGTTTTTAGATAAAGGCAATATCTTGTTTAGCTTCAAAATTGCATCCTACTTCAATCACACTAACCTGAAATTTTCTGTTTGCCTGCTCCTGGGACTAAAAGGTGATGACGCACTCATGCTTAAAGTTCCATGCTATAGATTCTATTCAATGCCATATGTAAAATATGTTTCATTTGTCCTTTGAAATATGAGTTTCGAGACTTATTATGTGCCGGCTTAATTCCATGTTCTGTTTGTGCATTTACTATGGATATTTCTTGCATTTTGATGTTTGCTTGAGTGACACGCTCAATGACTCGAGAAAAGCTATTTTTGATGCCCCAAGTTTCCGACAGAGTTTTGTTTGTCTTTCTGACTTGTATTTTTTTTGGTGCAGTTATGCCGATAGTCAGGAAACATGTAAAGGGACCCATGTGGGTTCATTTCCTTGTTGGTGTAAGTTCTTTATATGCCAAATCTCTTGATTTATCGATGTCTTGTTTTGGGTTGGTTTGCAAGGCTTAGTTTTTTTAAGCATAGTTTTATATTTGGTAATATTAATAATGCGACATACTCTACAGTTCTCCCCACCCCCCTTTCCCTCTCCGCTCCGAGAAAGTAGCTAATTGAACTTACCTCCCATCAAAAGCTTTTCAATGTTGTGGATGTTGTTCCTAGGTCTCTCTGGTGTCTCTGCCTTCTGTTGTGCATGTCAATGAAGTGTTGATTCGTGACCCGAAAGTTGTTTTCGCTTTGCTCTTAGACTCGTTCCCTCTTGATTATGATAAAGGATAAGCTGTAAACTGTACTTGTTTAGTTTCTGCGCCTTGTTAGTAACTATAACTAGGTTAGTGGTTTAATGCATTTTCATTTTCTTGAGATGCCGCCTCCTTGTTGAGAACCAATAGGTTTTTGGCCGTTCGTGGTGGTTCACCACTCACCAGTCAGCCCCTCATCCACAAACTCCATTTGGCTGAATTTTCTGCACTGCATACTCATGCTCATATATGAAAAGACCTGCATAATTCTTCTTTATTTGCATGTAGGCACCACCTGTGGTAGTGTTCTCCTCTGCTTGTGCAGGATTGGCTGGTTAGAAAATCTCTCTAATGATCATCTTATTTATTTGTTACCTAAATTGGTACTTCCTTGTGTTACAAGATATGATGAAACCTTGCTTGATCAAATTATGTTTGCTTGGACTAACAGTTGTCGCATTGTGACTCTGATGGTTTCTCGATCGGAAAAATCCACAGGTGGTGCTGTTCCGGCTCTTGATCAGCTTGCTTCTTCATCGTACCATGCTGCGTTCTCGTCTTCTCAGTTGCCTCCATCTTCATAGGATGATAAGATGCATAAATCTAGGACCGACTCTACTTTGTAATTATACGAGATAAATCGAGATATCGGATTGAAAATAGTAATACTGTGAAAAATTTTAATCTTTAGGTTGTTAAAATAGTAATACTATGAAAATGTGTAAAATTCCTTTTGGCTTTTAATTTTCATCAATTCACCCTTTTGATTATAATCAATTTTCAAGAGTGTATACACAAGCGAAATCTATTTAGTTCTTCATTTTGGAACATAACGAAGTCACAACATCAGCAAGCATGCTGCAGAAAACTTTCAGGCTAAGGCCAGAAAAACACAATAAAATCATAAGGGAAAAAAAAGAAAAAAAATCAATTTTCATTTATCTGAGGTGCATTTTCGCTCCCCGGCAAAGCCTCCAATGACGAAGCTGAAGTAGTACCACTTCCGGATCCCGGTAAGGCCGGTAAATGTTCATAATGCCATGGAATCGGGATCCAGTACTGCCTTCCGGTCCCTATTTCTCCACCATTTCGGGCGTCTGCAATGCCGACTCTCCCCTCGCCATTTCTGGTGATGTTTGGCTCGATCTCCTAATAACCCCAACGCAGCTTATACCTGCATACTGGACAAGAACTATGAAGTTCCAGCCATGGAGTAATACATCCACTATGAAATTTATGTTTACACGGCATCTCTTTTGCTTCGCTTCCGATCTCAATATCCTCCAAACATACAGAACAATGCAATATGTCATCCACAGTAACATTTGGTATTGCTTCAATCGCTTCTTTCAGTGCCGGTGGAACATCGTGGTGGTTCATATCATTCTCCGAAAAATACTGCAACAAAAGATCCCAACCATGTCCCATTAAGTAATCACCAAATGAAGCTTGAACAATCAAAGTACCGTTGTTGAACGGATCGGATAAGATCACTCTATCTCTCCTTTGTCTATTATTTTCAGGATTCTCCGGTTCAGAGACTGCTGCATTGGGCGTATCCTCAAGCATATGAAGAGCCGAAGAGCTTCTCCTCCTCCTCCTCATAAGTAGGGCTTCAAAATCTCTTCCTAGTTCATCATCCAATGCATCCTGTGATGAGTTGTTAGTATCGACTCGATCCCTGCCTGCGATACTCGACCGCGGAGTGCCTAAACCACTGATTATACCGAGCAAGATTGGAATTGGAGCCAAAAAGGAAAAATTGTTGGCTGATGCTGAATCAATGCCATTGGTGTTGGAGTAAGGTCTCATGCTGGATATTTCTTCGACAAATCCGGATTCGCATGAAGGGCATTTGATCTCAGGCTCTATCGTTGGATTCACCATTTGAGAGCAAATGTAACACCAATACCTAACTACCATAATATCCCCCATCTTTCTCTATAACCTGTTTCAAGTCACCAACAGACGAATAAGATCATATAAACAAAGAACACGAATGGTTCCAAAGCATATTCATTTAAAGAAAGAACAAATGAAGAATCACAGTAAGAAACAGAAGAATATCAATGGGAAAAGATTCAAAAGGAGAGGATGTTTCACCTGTTAGATAGAGGAAGAGGGAGGTTAAGAGAAGAATGATATGGTAAAGAAAATGAAATGGTGTAGAGTTTAAAAAGGGTAGACAAAAAGAATGGTGTCCGCTCTTTCTTTTTCTTGTCTAAACTTGCCATTTAATTTTTAGGACATTTCTTCTCTTACCAATCATTTGGTAAGCAAATGTGTGTATTCTTGGGTACGTTCAGAATAGATAAATTAGAAACATTATATCATGGATCAATAATTTTAAAGGTCTGAAGAATAAAACTAGCTGATCTACCGGCATTGAGCAGAAACATTAAAAACAGGAATCCCTTGGACTTTGATTGGGCGAGGCGCGAAGACCTGAGCAGCAAGCTATTGCGAACCTCTTCATCCTACAAGACAAAAAACCTTTAGCTGAGTAAACCTGATGATAGAAAGCCTTGGCAAGAACATCAGGATTAATGTGGTGTTTGATCCGAACACTGCATTTGCAATGGTTATGACACCTGGATTTTGGCTGCTAAGACCAGCAAAGGCAACTGCATTAGTCTCCCCTATGTTAAACTGGAAGTGAATTAGACAAACAGCGAAAACGAGAACATCTCCGGGGTATAGCCTTTAGCAATGAGATGATTATCGGGATTAGATGTGACGAATCCAACAGATAGCATGTCATGCCTTCTAGGAGCACTAGGATCTCGGTGGCTCGAGGGTGAGGTTCATGGTCAATTCGAGCCAAAGATACATCAAGAGTGTTAAGTCCTGGTATTTGTCCAACACTAACAGGAGTGACTTTCTATCCTAGTTGGTTTGACGTGTTTCCAGGCACATTAAGTACTGCATCGAAGATGGAAATGTGAATTGACACTCGATACACACTGCGTTGCATAAAGATAGGGAGTTGCTTGCAGGCTGTTGTTAGCTAAAGATGTCTTTTAGTTTAGACATGGATTTGAACCTATTCAAATAAAAAGAAAAGGGTGAACATAAAATCAATTTTGCGGTCCTTGAGTGCCATCGAAGATGAAGTAGGCAACCTATTCCTCATGGCCATCGAAGAAGATTCAATGGTAACTTCTAACTCAAATGAATTAGATTCTTATTCTTTTGATATGTTACAAATTGCTTATGATGAGTTGTATTTGAAATTTGAAACCATGAATTCCAAATATGATAAATTAATTTCAAAATATAAAGTTGAAAATGATTTGATTTTGAAAGACAGTTGATTTTGAAAAACAAAATGAAATTTTGAAAAATGATTTAGAAATTTCAAAAATCAAAATCAATAATTTAGAAAAAGAAAATTTTGATTTAAAAGTTAAGCTTGAAAGCTTAACAAAAGAAAAAGAATTAATTTCTAAAAACAACTCATTATGTTTAAAAATGGTAAAATGCTCACATTGTCATTTTCATGGCCATTTGGAACATACTTGTCCTATAAAATTAGACAAGTATGGGTTTCTAAGGGAACAAGGGGCATTGAAACTAATGTTCAAGGATCTAAAGAAATTTGGATACCAAAATCTACTTAAATGTCTCTTGTAGGTGTGTGGGAGCAATGTTGATGAAAGTGACGATACTCTAATGCTCTAGCCACACTTGAAAACCTCTAAGCTTAATGTTTTTGTTTTTGAATATTTGGTTTCTCATTTAGTTTTAAGCATGCAAGAGTTTTGATTTTAAATGATTTTAAGTTTTCTATGGCGCAACCATATGATTCGACCCCAAACGCTAACCAAATGACCACCAAAAATTAATGAACCATTTCCCCCCAAACATACACACCTTAGGAACCTTAGAAATCAGTTCACTGTGTGACAAAATATCTAAAACAGAGCAGAAAATTTGCTTTTAAAACAGAACAAAAATCAATCGAAAGATCGACAAATCTTATCGAAATAACTCTCCAAGCCTTCGATCCAATCGACACTACTTTTTCCCAACAAGAAATGATCAAGAAAAGCTAATATAAACATCTAAACTCATCTAGAATCCCCCTCAATTGACATCAATTAACTCTAATCCCTGAATTTTTGAAAAACGTCAAAATCAAGCTTGTTTTTGAAGAATTCTTTATCCAAATCAAATGAGATTGAAAACTGATTTAGAATGATAATAACATCATAAAAACAACTTAATCAACCCAAGAAAACCTTGAAAAATTATCAAGAAAAATAGCACATTAAATACCTCCGAAAATCATTTTTAATTCACAACTTCTCTTTAAAACAATTGTTCAATTGAAATCATCAATCACTTTTAATCATTAACCGTTGAAACATAAAAAAAACCAAGGAAGGGGCATTACCTTTCTGGAAAAGAAATAAAGGAAAATATCAACAATGGCAACACCAAAGAGATCAAGGAAAATAGGCAAAGAAGAAAATGAGAAGAAACAATCTTGATTGAATAGAGAAAATCTATAAGAAAGGAGTAAAAATAAATAACAAAGGAATAGAAATGAAGAAGAGAGTTTTAGCCATTAAAGAGAACTTTATAGAGTTTTGGGAGAAAATACAAGAGTGTTTGGATGAGAAAATGAACAGAACAGTTAATAAAAACTAGAAAATAAAATAAGAAAAGATTAAAAGAATGAATCAAGATGGAAAATTGGCAAAAGGAGATGAATAATACGGTTAAGAAATGAGGGAAAAACCATCCACACAAGCCTTTGTAAAATAAGCTTCATAGATTGTTAATTTTTGATCTTTTAAAATTCAGTCACTAAAAACATAATTTCAAATTTATTCAATTTTGTCACCTTGTAAAATCAAATTATAAATTCCCAAAAAAAATAAAGATCAATAATCCAACCCATTCAAATCATTTTAGAAAATATTTATCAATTAAAAATATTGATATTAATATTATTACCGAAAATTCAAAAATTGCCCGACGATCGACCCTAAACTATCGACCCGAATTTTGGAATGTTACACTTACTCTCTTTATACGATCTTTTCTATTCTTTTATTTGAGATTAAATAACACTTTTATTTTGACATCAAAATTACACGCTGTCAAATTAACAATAAAATAATAACAAAATTAAACACTGATCCATGGGGTAGTCTAAAAGGCGAAGACCTGATAACTGTTAGCACACAATTAACTTCACCCAGTCTAGACCCACAAATCCTCTAGCGGAATGGCACTCATAGAGCATTAACATTTTTTAAATAAAAAATCATGGCACTCTTTGAAGTTTTTAATAACAATTTATTTAGTAACATATTTTAATAATCATTTTGGAATTATAAAAAGTTTTTAATATGATAAATTTAATGAAAATTTTGTAATAATTTGATAAAATTTAATGATTATTCTAAAATAATTCAATAAAATGTAATTTATAATAATTTGATAAATCTATTGGCTATTTTGTATCTTTATAAAATTGAATGACCAAAACATTTGTTTAAACATAGTTCAATGTCCTCTAATTTACTTTAACCATCGTTTTAAATTGTAAACCAATGGCATTAAAACCTTAGGAGTGAAGGAGAAAACATTTTTAAAACCTAACATTAAATGTT